ACACATAAAACATTATGTATTCAACCACGAAAAACAAACCAGGACTATTGTATTGTGTCTACCTATCTTGTTTAAATAAAATCAAAATGACAATGTTATTAACTCATCGTTTTAAAATTCTATATTTGATATAATAAAACAACTTGTATCTACATGCACAAGACGCCAGGTATATTTTCGATGACATACTTCATAATATTATCTTATCCGTGTTTTTAATTATTAATATTAACACCCAACCTCCATGCAAAACAGTATATTCCATTTTTTTCTCTTATATTATGGCTACACAATTCAATTTTCACTATATTGTCATAAATTACTTGGGGATTTTGACAAAAGATCGAATGCAGATCTCACCATGTTTAATTCATAATGAATAAGAATGCGGTTGCCAAAGATATATAAGGATTTCTTATGCACTGGTATTGTTGTTGAATCGTGTACACGGTTGTACACTGTGTCGACACATCTATGAGTCGAGAAGCACTGGTGCAATGCTATTCGATTTGAAATGTTTGACGGCTCGTGATAATAATATAAATACCCGATGCAGTGGAGAGTTCATTGTTTTAACAGAATGTAATGTAGTCATCTGGCTTTTTATTTCAAAACACACACTCTCCACAGTCATACCATAAGAATAGACGATTTCTTAGCACAGCTGGTGTCAACTATTCAACATATTGCTGTAACCACGAAGGACAGAGTACTGAAAGAGAGTGACAAGAAGATATTACTAAATTTGACCAGTTTCCTGCTAAGTAGTTAATTGGATAGCAAGTAGCCGTGTTTCAATCATGTTATGGGGTGTGCCGGTTCCCATGCAAGTGTTTGCATACCCAAAACAATGTCCTAGCTGGTCTTTTAAGGGCAGTCCAGTAAATCATGTAATATAGTTTTCTTTTGATCACTCTCAGTAACCTGCAAGCGCATAGCCACTTTAACAGGCCGACAACGCGCTGTTTAATGTGATGATAACACGGTCAGGTAGAGGCGGCGTCACGAAAGGTTGCGTGAGTAGTTTAGGCGAC